TCCGCCAAGGAAAATGACTTCCTGAACATGAGTAATTTCATTACTATTTTTCTTTCTGACTGCTTCTGTGCCAATTCAAATATATGGCATTAAAGGTTTAAAAGGTTTCGTATGCCTCTCTTCTGATAGCTAGACACTTCAACACTGCCGTGAGACAGGAGTGCGCAGTCACCCTCCGAATGGATGTTGGCACTTACAGTTACTGATGGCCGATGATGAGCTGCCCATCGCAGCTGGACCTTTCACAGAAATGATCTCATTCACAGTTGCGACAACAAGCTCAGAGGTAAGACAGTGTGTCCACTGTGAGGTAACATGTGCAGGTGGGCTGGGACTTGAATATTAGAGCCGCCTGGCTCTAAAACTCTTAACAAACACCTGAGGTGCGAATCTGACCTATCACACCATCTCTGCAGGCCTGATTGCCCGAGCGCACAGAGGCAGGGGGAAATGGAGAGGGGGAGAAGACAAGGATCAAATCACAATGCACATGATCAGATTACTGGGAAAACTATGCCTGCAAACTACTATCCAAAGATGAAACGGACTTTGGGGTATAGTTCATGATTTAAAAATAAAAAGGCTGACGCTTCAAGGTTAGACACCTTCTCTGAAATTCTTAGGGTTCTATACCTATCAAGAGACATGAAACCCAATGAGTCAAGCAAGGCAGGCGTCTTCCTACAGAACGGATAATCGCTCTCTAACGTTCAGCGCATTTCTTCTCAACAGCATTCCTCCTGTTCTCATTTCCCCCTTCCTAATTCCAGCTCTGTCATCTAGTTCTTAAATTCAGAATACAGGGAGCGGTAGCCAGGGTGCCCACCACAACAGCTTGTTCCAAACTCCCACTGGCATGTCTGCTAGGACACTGCACTTCTCTTCATCACCGCTCTCTTGGCACAGCGAAAACACCCACAAGCCTAAAAACAAGAAACGTGGACTAGCTTCCCCAAGGTCATGCAGCTAGGATGCGAGAATGTTGATCAGTCTGATTCTGAATCGAATGTCCTTTCCTGGATGTGAACCTTGACAACTGCAGAAAGCACAGGCCGGATCCACGAGCACAGGATCTGAAGATAGCTAAAGAACATGCGCATAGCAGGAAGCAATAAAAACCGAAGATCAGTGGGTGAAGGGAGACATTGGTCAGTGTAAGACATGAAAAAAATTTTTATAAATTATCAAGGGTTCATGATGGAGGGGGAAAAATGACAAGCTGATACCAAGCGCTCAAAGAGAAAGAAAATGTTTTGAAAATGATGATGGCAACAAATGTACAAATGTGCTCGACACAACAGATGAATTGTGATATGAGTTGTACGTGCCTCCAATAAAATGATTTAAAAAATCAGAAGATCATGATATTAGAATGAGAAAGTTCTTGGTGGCTACCTAGAGTGGTCAAGTATGTCGTCTATTGTCATCTGTCTCTTCCTACTACTCTGTGTCCAAGAAAGCGTAAACCTGGACTGGGGGGAGAAGGTTTACTGAGAAACACAAGGTTAAGTCCCCGAAACATCAAAATAATGGAATTCATTCTTCATGTGAAGGCTTACAAAGAGAAAGGGTTGGAGAATGCTTGGACTTTTGAGTTCGAATGTGAATTTAGAACTTGGTATAATAAGCAGAGCACGCATGGAGTTCATGAGTGGGGGAAGACATGATCAAAACTGCTTGAAGAGTCGTCTGCCAACATAATGTCAGTAGCACGAGGGCAGCACGCTAGGTTACGAGCTACCCAGCATATAAAACCCGGATGGTAGAAAGGCAGAGCTGCTTCCGCCATGCCCTCCACGCTACTAAAGATTCTGCTTGAACAAGTCTTGGCATGTATCATCCATCATCTTTGTCAACACAGAAGCTTTGCTGGTGAACTTCCAAAATATGTTGCACAACGCTCAGACGAGTTTTTGAGGGCATCAATTATGCCTTTTAGTAACTTCCACTCGCCAGAGATCATAGGCTATCACATTTAACAACTGGACCAAGGCAGCAGGCTACTTAGTCCATTTCGTATATGCAACAAAAAGGGAATAATAACTTCTTTAAACTAAGTCTTCAAAACTATCTTTTTTTTCAATTGTCACTATGAGTCTGGACTAACCTGGTAAGAAATATCACACTACTAGCTCCTTGGCTGATTGATACTTAAGCACTCTATAGCTAGAATTCGTTCTCCATCCAGTCCCTTCTGCCTCTTAGATCTCAAATCTATCCATTTCTATTTCCCCTGCCACCACATCAGTCGACACAATCCTTCCCTTAACTACTGCAGCAGCCTTCGACTTTCCCACGTCCATACTTTCACTTCTTCCATCGATTATCCGCATAGAAGCTGGGGAAACAGGAGGTTGTATTATTCCTTGGGTTAAAATTATTATTCCTCACTGGCAAAAATCAGATAAGATTATGCCTTGCTTAAAATTTTCCAATTTCTTCCCATTAAACTTTAAATAAAGTTCAGACTACTTTCTATGGCTTCTATGATGCTGCATACTCATGACCCTCCCTTCCTCCTCTATCTGACCTAGCCTCCTCTCTCCTGCATGCATTTTACCTGCTTCCTGGTGGCTCTTCAAACATTAAGTTCCAAGACACATTATCTTGGTGTCTCTGCAAATGTTGTTCCCTCTACCCAGAGCATTCTCCCGTCTTGGAGATGTGGACAGTTACTTCTTATTCTTCAGCAATCCCTTATCACCTAAGAAGACCT